ATTGGGGAAATTATATAACAAAGTGGAAAAATTTACTTGGGACACGTTTCATCCTTCAGGAATTCATCAGACTAAATTTGTTCTGTTCATACATGTATAGTCTTGCAAACATAAATTTAGTCCAATGAAGTCCTGTAGGATGAAACACGTCACAAGCAAACTTTTTCACTTTGTCTCGCACACACACTATATATAATGTCCAAGTAGTCCATAAAGAGAATGTGCCAAAAAAACAAGTCCACCAATAGCAAGCCTGCCAAAGAATACAACATGAAAATGAAAAAGAATAGAAGAATCTGCAGGGTTCTGTCTTTTAAAAATTAAACTAAGAAAGAAGTAACAACAAACACAAGGAAATTGCTTAGGGATACCAATCTAAAATTGTGATGGAGTTTAACACTAAAGAGATGTGCAAACGAAAAAGATCTTTATTGGCTGAAGATCACTTTTTTAGGATGAAACTTTTAGTCACAATTATATATTGGAAACCCTGAAGTGTTTTCTTAGTGTTTGTTATTATATATATATATAAAACCGTGTGAACCAAATATAATACAGATTTTTGTCAGTAACCTTTGTGAACCAGGATACAAAAGCTGGCAAGGAAGATACTTGAAAAGTGACAATAAAAACTAGGTTTTAACCTCAATTATTTTTTATAGTGAAATTACTTGAACTTTAGGGTCACACCTCATACATTTTGAAGGGCAATAAATACAAAGTTATAAGTTTATGTCTATTTAGCATTATATGAGTTTAGTCAGAAATGTTTCAACTATTTTCATATTTAGGAAAAAGTAACCAACTTAGGGCAATGGCACTTTAGTCCACTTTCTTCAATATGTTCCCATCAGTATTTCACTCATTTATTGTAATACCCATTTCACTTTACAAAACAATTAGCAAATACACTAGCAGCTACTTCAAGTATCAAAGTATTAAAGGAAGATACTGGCTATTATCAGTTCCCTAAGACTGGCTGATACACATGGGAGTAAGTGCATTGTAGTCATCATAGGAACATCTTGCTATAAATTTTAAATAAATCTGATGAGATTATGAATTCTTTTCTTTAGATCTATTTTATGCTCTTGCTCAATTTGTTTTCTATATTTATTCAGACATTTTCTCCCAAAAAATCCACATAGATAATTTTTTTTAAACTACAGAAGAAGCTGTTTATTATAATCATGTATATTATCAAACAACTATGTGTTTAAAACCACTCTCTGAATTCTATTTATGTTATAAAGACTTATTTGCATAAAATTACTTTTAAATTTATATTAAAAAAATAATCTTACACTAATAAATTTTTATAATGTAAATTTGTTTAAAACAATGAATTGATAAAAAGGAATCCAAATTGTTCTAATTTTATATTCTTTGCTTAATGTTAGCTGTTTATTATTATTATCTTGGAAAAGATTTACAAAGCATTCCTGGAGATGTGAGGATGTGTATATCCATGATGTTCTCTTGTGGACGCTAAAACATGGACTCACATTATTTTGTGATGTTAACGAACTCTCATTGACACTTTTGTAATGTCAATGAATACTTCTTGTTGCTTTCATAATGCTCGTTGTAGTGGAGACTTTGTAATCACAGTAACAATTATAGTACGCTGTTGAATAATGCTGGTGTCAGACACCTTCAAATAGCACTCACACTAATAGTACTTGCTCGATAATACTTGCTTGAATAGTGATCAGTATAGTGAATAGTATAGAGAATAGCGATCTGTATAGTAATAGAGGATAGAATAGAAATGGGGATCAAGTAGATGTCACAATAATTCCCATATACACATTTCATTTACTATCATGTGATTTACTTATTCAAAATGGTATCACTCTCTGGTGATCTGTGTTCAAACCCAAGTGTTGGCAGTGACACTTTATTTCTATATGACACATTGATTACCCATTCAAAACATACATTCAGCATATATTAAAGACACAAGATAACAACCTGAAGAGTGGCCAGGTCTGATGAACAACTGTGAAGACTGGAGATATAGAGTTGTCAGGATCTGTATAAAAGACGAACTGATGATGATGATGATGGTAAAGAATATGATCTTAAAGATCCTTCCCAAAGTGATCATAATAAGTGATTTCCTCTTGTATTTGTGAATCATTTTTTAAATGCCATGTCACTTCAGGACTTAAGTGATCATAGCTCTCCACACATTCCTTTTCTTTATTATCTGTGAATTGCTATCTTTCTTGAGAAAGGTAGTGGAATCATTTCCCTTCTTTATAGTTTTGAATTCAGAATAATTTTCCTTGTTGGTGATCATGGCTCTCCATAGATTTCTTTTTCTTTATTATCTGTGAAGTGCCATGACTTTTTGGGAAAGATAGATTAGTTCTCACTTCAGGAGAGCCCAGTCTACCCTGCAAATTAACTAACAGTAACAGGAAGAAGAAAGATTCCCAAGGGCATTTGTGTGAAAGTGAATGCATCAGACTAGGTCTGAGCCTGAACATGACTTGCATACTCTAATTTCCATACCAATAGCAGTTTAGCTGCCTACACATCACTTGTGAATACCAATGTGTTGGAACCATATTGCAAGTAAGGTAAATTTGGAAGGTTGAAAGAAACAATGTCTGTACATATGATTACCTCAGAAATCAGGTTTACAGATTCTCAGTGACATGAGGGTGGGGATGAACAAGAGTGTCTCCCAGCCCCCACTCAGTGAAATTAATCTGAGTGTTTATAACAAGCTTAACTATGTACAAAATAAGAAGCTAATTATCATATGGCTAGTATATGGTCTCTGATTTCAGGGTTGTACATCATGTGAAAACTAGTTTAATTAGAACACTGACTATAGAGAAACAAATCGTTATATAGAATTATGTCAAGACATTTTTGGGGAAACAAAGAATAGTGAAAGAATTTGATCATTCTAATAGGTCAATATCTTTGGTTGAAGAAGCATAAACACATGAATACCAATAAAGATAAGATTAATATTCTGAAATCTGTTTATCTCATAATGGTAATATTAATAGTAATATTAGGCATTTCCTTGTAAGGAAACATTTGAGAGAGCAACCAGTTCTTCTTCCAATTGAAATTTATAAAATCTTTCTATTAAAAGATTTTTTTTCAAGTAAATAATTTTATTCACCTTTACTGTTATCACTCTTTCCAGTATTAATTAGGTTTCCTTTCTAACATTTTGTCTGAAGTCATATAGAAAATCAACATCTTGACTATGTCATCATTATTTCTTCTTTGAGTTACATGTGATATCCATTTTAGCTGTTGCTCCTGTTGAAAGTCCTCAAGGTTTCTGTTATTTGGTACAGTTCTGTCTTTGTGTATCATTAGTCCACAAGGTTTGAAGAACGACAGTTTTTGCTAAGATCTACACATTTAATTTGCTCAAAATCATTTTTAGCCATTAATCAGATAGTCATTGTATACAGCTGACAGTTTAGATATTTCTGAATGAATTTGGCACGAGGCATGTGGTCCATATGAAAGTCTCAATCTGATGAGGCTATTTAAGAACATGATTTGAGTTTTTAGGTTAATGTTTTGGTTATGTAGCAACTTGCAGTATTGGGTGAAACCAACTCTAAAACTATCAGCTAAATTCATTTTATCAGGTGGTATAATGACATCAAATCTTTGTGCTTTCTCTTATTTGTCAAGTTATTTTTTCTTTATTGCTTTAAGTCTCTTCATTTTCTTTTTTAGATAATTATTAAAGTGAGGAGGTGAAGGCATGGTGGAGTAATGGATAGCGGCTAGGACTGAGGAATCGGAAAGCTGAGTTTGAATTCCAGTTGAATCCATTACATTCACTTACGTGCTAATAACCTTGGGAAAAGTATGAATTCTCTTCTTCTCTCACCAGCTATGGGTAAATAGAAAGACTGACCGGGTTCTATAGCCTTGGATGGCAACTGGTCTACCGCAGAAAGAAATGGCAACCTACTGCAGGAAAAAATTTGCCTTGTCAGTCATTTATCGAAAAATACATGATCACCTAAGCGTCTATCACGCATGGCACATAACTGAGTGACTGATTAAAATGATCCTCCTGTATAAAAGGGAATGCTAATCAATCACTTCACAGATGAAATAGTGGGACTAAAACAACAGAGATGTAGTCCTACAGAAGGATACTGAGAATAATGTAGTTGGAACATGTGAGCAATGAGGCAGTTTTAAGGAAAATAGAAACAAAAAAAGACACTTATTGTAACGAATAATCGGATTAACCCAACAAGAGAACCAGAATTGGTTGCATGGTGTGCAGTAAGCACTAAGAGTTATGTCCTCTTCAACAACTGGCTGGTGAGAGAGGGCATTCTAGTTAGAATAGTTGGTACTGACAAAATTTGCATGTAAATGATGCTGGGCAGGTATTAGTCAATAGTTAGCATGGGTCTGGCACTGAGAGAGCTATATAACACCAGCTTTTTCTCAGTTGGATAGAAGCGCTCTCGATGTGCAGAAAACCGAACATGATGACCACACTTATACTTATAATCAGAAAGAGACATTTTAAATTTCTGAACGCATAATGAGGAAAGAGAGCCTGGCGAATTTAACACTTGCAGGACATGCTGAATAGAAGAGAGGCAGCTGGAAATTGAGTAAACTACTTAAGCTTTTGTAAATGAATGATAGAACAGAGAATAGGAAGGAAAGTAAAGAGACATATTTCTAAATAGATGAGGAATTTGTGCAGAGTCATTGATTGGTTGTTTTTGTTTAGTGGCATATCAACACTTCTATGGGTTATTTAATGCCGAAATCTAAACATTTTTTGTATGCAATTTTATTTTAATTTTGGAAATAATGATTTAGTGACGCAAGTATTACTAATTAACCTATAGCTGTGAGAAGTCGTGAATTCCTCTACCTTTCCCAAGAGTATTTGCATGTAAATGAATATAACAAACCCAACTGGAATTGGATCTCAGATCTTTGATTAACAGTTCCTAGTCATTATCCACACATTTAAGCTTACAGCACTGAGTATTCTCAAGCAGTCACCCATCTGTGTACTGACCAAGCTTGACATTGCTTAACTTCAGTGATTGTATGGGAACCAGTTTTTTGACATAATGTGGCTGTAAGTTGTGGACACTCTTGATTGCACCTGAAGGACCATGGCACATAAAAGTAGAAGTTATTTGTATGAAAATGTTAACATAGTGTTTGTTTTATATTCAGAATAAAGAGAAAAAAACTCATCTGTCCAACTTTTTATTTTATTTTCTAGCTAAAGTTAAAGACTGGCATCTAGTTTTCGTTCCCTTTGATAAAAAAAATATGGCAAATTTTATTTGCTCTTCAACAGACAGTTGCAAAGCTATGACAAAAAAAAGAGGCCATAATATATTTGGAAAATAAATTCAATATTCAAAAGAAATCTGTAATACTTTATTGTTGTGCATCTACAGAAAGATTATTTCACTTCAATGCTACAGAATTAGTAAAAACTTACTGACTATAACTTGGAAATAAAAATTTCTATATTAAGTTTAAATTTTCAGTTCTGGCACTTTTATTTAAAAAGAATATTTGTAATTTTGCTTTCACAACTTTTTTTAAAAGATATAAGTTAACAACATCAATGAAACTTTCCATGAAGTCGATCATATTTTAGTTTGTTTTTTTTTACCATGGGCCTTCAGGATGTAAGACAATCATGGCTCCACACAGATTCCTTTTCATTTTGTTATTATCTGTGAATTTTCATGATTTCTGAAGAAAGATAATGGAGTGATTTCTCATTGCCTTGTCTGTGGTTTTGAATTTAAAATATTTCTTCAACTGCTTGGTTGCCACCCAAAGCTAAAGAAATGAGTTTATCTTGCTAATTAAGCCATAGCTGGGTGGAGAAGGTGGAATTATGTCCTTCCCAAGGACATTTGTATAAAACTGAATTTTAGACAGATACCCCACTTGTGTAGGCCTATAGATGTAATACTCACTGCCTAATAAATAAAAATGGTCATCTAGTTTAAATATGAAAGGAAGTGAATGCAACACACTAAGCTGGAATGTGAACTCAGCCCTCCATTTCCACTTTTTATACCATTGAGTTTTCAAGTCACAGACTAAGCTACTACAAGGCTATTGTTTGTTCAGAGAAATAGTGATTTTGGGAAGTGGGCCAGGCTGAGAAATTTTCAGTACCTCTTTGTAATAGAGAAAATTTGCTTTTATACTCCATTAATTCTTTGAAATGGTTTATAAATTAAAGATAGTGAGAACTACAACTAAAATTATTAGATTTATGGATAGAAAAGTCTGAATGAATCAAGTATAAATAAAAGATCAAATATGAATCAGAATCCAATAGGATGATGAGATAAAGAAGAAATAGGAAATGTTTATCAATCTGACAGGTTTCACTTTTATTAAAGATTCATCAGAGAATGACATATGGAGGAAAATAAAAAAAAGAAGAAATTCTCATATATTTTATTTTTGTGTTTGATTCTTATTGGTTAAGCTGTGCATTTAACTTGTTAATCAGTGTTAGTATAATTTATGGTATTCTGAACTCAAAGAGAGATCCTTTTAAAGCTCAAAAAATTAACGGATTTCAAACCTAACTGAAAAATGTAAACATTGCTTTATATATGTAAGTGTAGCATAATTCTCGTTTATCTATGTAAGATTCAATGTGTGTGTGTGTGTGTGTCTGTCTAGTAGACTTTGTCTATATTTGGTGACTGTCCACAGGTTGATTTGGGGACATTTCTATGTAAACACCATTTATGGTAGGTAAACATACATTAGAATCTTTGAGAATGGATTTGATAAAGGTTGGTGATAGAATATAGTTTTTTGATGAGTGTTTATAGTTGGTAAAATATTTATCAGGATTCCCTCAAAGAATTTTTGACAAAGAATTATGCATGTTTTTTTAATTAGGGTTCCATTTGTAAAATCAAAGTTATGGCCAATTTTGTTCCTGAGTATTATCAGTGAGTTTAAAGGATTGTCCTAATGTAGATTACTTTTATGTTCATAGATGCAAGCTTTTAGATTCTGCAACGTCTCACCAGTGTAAGAGTTTTTACATTGCAAGCATTTTATTTGATAAATCTTAACATCTGAAGTTGTGTTGAATTTATTTTTCTTTCTGATGTTCAATTGTCTTGGAAATGGTGGCAAAAACCTTATTGGGGATAACTAATTTATTTTCAAATTTTGTAGATAGTGTGTTAGAAGGTAGGATTATGAAATTTGTGTTGTTGATGTTAAGATTGCTATCAGCAGTATCAAGTTTTGGAAAAGTCAATTTAGGCTCATGAAATCCAATAATTAGTAAAATATAAGCAGGAAATATCAATAATTTGCATGAAAAACAATTTCATTTTCATTATTCATATTCAGACCAATGTCTGATGGTTGTTGAAGATGAAAAGGAGACTTGAGGCAACAGCAATATGGTTCTACAGAAGGATGCTGAGGATACTATAGACCGAATATGTGAACAATGAAGCAGTTTTAGATAAAATGGAAACCAAAAGGAAACTTATACTCAACATCAAGAAGAGGCAGTTGAAATTTATCGGGCACATAATGAGGAAGGAAGGATTGGAGAATCTGATATTCACAGGACAGATTGAGGGGCAGAGGAAAACAGTGTATAACATACTTGATGAACTTGAGTAAATGGATGACAGAACAGGGTTTAAGAGAAATAACAAAAAGACAAAATTTATTAAGATCTACAAGGACAGTGAAGTCCTGGGTATGATGAAAAACTACATCTGGCAGCAAAGCCTCTGATTGGGAAATTGGAGGTTTAGATGAGTATCAATGGCCTCTTAATTGCTGTTGTTCCCAGGTCCACCCAGGGTGATAACATCTGTTAGGATCCCAACTATGGACAAATAGTGAACCCCCAAACAAAAACAAAATAATATGAAATTATAAAAATACATTTTTATAGTAAAAATACCAGCAATATATTTTTATATAAAAAAAATTACCAACAATACATATTGTAAAATGACTAGCAATACATTTTCTGTAGTTAAAGGGATACAATAGTATTCAAAATATATTTAACTGAAGCCAGAAAATTGTATTCAAATTTAGATATTGGCATTAAATAACCCACCGTGGTTGATATACACTAAACAAAATCAACCAACAACAAAAGACAGACAATTGTGGAGAGCCAAAATTGTGTACATCCTGAGAAGTCTTTAATAAATTAGAAATATTATGTCTGCTTATTTTTATCATAATCCTTTCATATTCACAAATATATATATATATATATATATATATATATATATATATATATATATATATATATATATATATCTCATTGCAGCAAAGATATCAAACTGTGTCTTCCTTTTCAACTGAAATAGTACTGTTGATTTATCACACAAACAGACTGTGTTAAACATTTATTATAATTTTCTGTATGGTTCTAAAGTTTCTCTCAAGCTGAAACAAACAAATTTGAAAATCTGACTTTCAGACAAGAAAGTAAGGGATAGGTCCACTGTCAGTAGTTGAGCAACACAGAAAAATTAACTTGCAAATACTAAATTAGATAGAGTGAACAGATACTAAACTGAGGCTAGGAAGAGGGCCTCAAACATTTCGATCATAGAGAGGTCATCATCATAGCCGCTTTTATTGAACCAGGATTAGTCATGCACACAGCAAGGTGGGTCCTGCTTGATAGAGCATCTTGTCAATGATTTGAGGAAAGGTTTTACAAGGCCAGATGCTCTGACACCAAACTCAAGGTAGTTCAACTACATGAGGGTTTTTATTGACACACAATCTCTAGGAAGGTTGCTATTCAAAGTTTGAGATACCATCCCAGTCATATATATATATATATATATATATATATATATATATATATATATATATACACACACACAGTGGGGGGAAATAAATATTCGTACACTTGAAAAATTGTATTTCTATAAATGTAAAAGCCTTAACTAAAACAAAATTTGATACATTTTGTGTATAAAGATACATTTTATTCAAAAAATAGTAATAAACTTAATTCTTATTCTAATAGAAATTAATGCATTTTTTTCATTTTAACTGATGAAAAAGTATTCGTACAAAACAAAAAATGCATATTAACTTAATTTAATACTTTGTGGAATATCCTTTATTGAGTTCAACAGCTACCAGTCTATTCCTTTACGTCTCAACTAATGATTTCCACACATTCAGTGGTATTTTGTCCCATTCTTCTTGGCATATTGTCTTCAAATTCTTGCTATTTGTTGGTGCTCTTTTCCCAATTTGAATTTTCAAATATCGCCATAAATTCTCGATTGGGTTCAAATCTGGGAACTGACTAGCCATTGCAAGACATCAGCATTACTTTCAGCTAACCATTTCTTTGTAGATCTAGCGGTATGCTTAGGATCATTATCCAGTTGGAAAACCCAATCAGGAGGTAGCCAAAGTCTCTCAACAGAAAGCATTAAATTGTCTTGCAGGATTTTCTGGTATCTTTCGGCATTCATCTTGCCATCTATTATTGATATTCTGCCAACACCTTTTGCAGAAAAACAGCCCCAGATCATGATACTGCTACCACCAAACTTTACAGTTGGCAACGTGTTCTTTGGTAAGTAGGCTTCACCATCCTTCCTCCACACATAATTTCGATAATTATGACCAAACAACTATTTTAGTTTCATCTGTCCATAGTACTTTTTCCCAAAATGAATATTCTTTATCCTTATGCTCTCTAACGAATTTTAGCTTAGCATCTCTGTCATTTCAAGAGGAGTGGAGTCTTCCTTGGGATGCGTGATTTAAGACTGTTTTTGTGTAGTTCATTACTTATTGTACACTTGGTTACTTTAATCCCTAATGCACGCAGATGTTCTCAGGTAACCTGTGGATTTTGTTGGATCTGGCATCCTAATATCCTTACTGATCTTAGAAATCTTCCTTGGAGCACCTGTTCGTCTTTGGTTTTCGATGCTGTTATGAGTTTTAAACCTTGCAATGAACGAAGCAAAAATGAACGTAGTAAAAGGAATATCCAGGTTGTTAGAAATTGATCTGTAACTGTTCTTATCTTTCCAAAGAGACAAA